TAGCATGTCTGTGAAGTAGTTTTCCTATCATTAACATTTCCTAACCTGCATGTTATAGTTTATTTGTAAGAAATCAATCCTTATTTATCTTAATTAGATACTTCTCGGATATACTGATAATTATATACTAGCTATAATTCTCTAATACTCAAACTAACAGTTGATTCTATGCTATTCTGTCGACCGAAAGATTTTCTCGACTCATCTGGTTTTATATTCCCTTTTTTCTGGGGAGGGGGGGTAGTTTATTGCTTATACAACTTTTACAATATAAAATTTATATATGATTATGCTTTAAATTGAACTGTTGCACTTTCCATTTCGTTTTAAAACGACGTTCAATCTATTCAATTTAAGAATGTTCAGGGTAATAAAGAAAATCCATACTGCTTTTTAGACATGCACTTCAGTTTACAGCGGCTCGAAAAAAATAATACCGATCCGTGTGCAAAGTGAATCAAATAATGACGAAGCTAGTTATATCGTAATAATGAAAATAAAGTGAAAATAAAAGAAAGAAAATCGATACATATACTCATAGCAAATTCAGATTGATTATATAGCAGTAAAGGTTACGGAAAAAAAAGCACTGTACTTAAATATAGCACCAAATTATAATTTTACCTTATTATCACAAACAAAACAGCCAATAATGCGATTCCACCTGCAATGCCACCAATAACTGGACCTAACAAGAAAAGATACCAATAATGACACAAGTGTGGACACATAACACTTTATCAAATGTGTTTGAAACTATGCATTGAAAGTCTCCTTTCTGACAGAGATTATTCTCCGTTCTTCTGAAATGATAAGATAAACTGCACGATGATTATGCTTAAAGAGTTTTAATTAATGAGTTGTAAACAATATTTGATTATTAGTTATAATTGCAATAAGCCGTTAATCCATCATTCGTTTTATTTTTGTACACCTTATACAAAAGAGCTCAGTTATATTAATAACAAAAACTAGTTGGAAAAATCAGATGGGTAATCAAAAATAACGCGGGTATACATACCTATATCAAAATTGGTGCTAGAATCTTTCGCCATTGTCTTTGTTTCAAGATTTGGTACGCTTTGACTTGAGGTTGTAGAAGATGCTGCGTCTAGAAAAATGGTGAACAAATTATTAAAAAAGATCATTTTGTACAAGTTTTATGTAGTTTCAGCATTGACACTGCGTTTCTTTTATTTTTTTGTTATAGTGTAGGTAATGTAACTTTCTAAAGATTTTTTTGTTACGCCGGCATCTGACAATTTCTTTTTTGAAAGACGAAAATTAATATCCATTTGTCTCAAATCTGCTTCTAACAAAGTCACGTTAGAAGAGTGTCCTTTCGTTTTATCTATTTGTTTACCTTGATTTCTTTCTTTAAAGTGAATTGATGAGATATGAATTTCGATAGACTATTGTTCCCTTAAATCAATTAATTAACTAATATTTTCTGCAGGATTGGGGATACATCAAAGGAACTGTTATATACACACACAAAAATGCTACCTAAAAACTAGACACAACTGTTTGTTTTTTTTTTTTCAATCTTTGTTTTTTAATTTGTTTGTTTTTGCTGCATCCCGTTCACCTTTAAATGCTATTTAGGTTTAAAACAGCTAAAATTGAAGAAATGTATCTTACAAAGTGACCTTTATCGATTACATTCCATATGAACATAACATTGAACAGTCAACTCTATCAATTTGGAAGTTATACAGAATAGTTTATTAATACAAGCTTAAAATAGAATGTTCCTAATCACATTTGCAGTCGGCTAAAGCTACAAATTACAGATGATCTGCTCCATATTTCAGAGATGAAGACAGATCTGTTCTAATTGTCGTAACTACAATCCCGTCCTCAAAAGTGACCTACCGAATTAGACTTATCACCGGGTTTGCACTTGCATGACCAAAAATACGGCTAAAAATTGTGGAGCAGGATCTGCTTATCCTTATTTCACCACAGTGTTTGATGTAGTTCACTTTGCTCAGTCTCCAGATTTGTATGTTAAGTTGTGTGTACTGTTGTTTGTGTTCTCGTCATTTTTCGTTTTTTGCACATGATGTTATCAGTTTGTTTTCGATTTAGGAGTTTGAATATGCCTTTGGTATCTCTAGCCTCTCTTATATTCCATAATATTTATACTGGACCTCTTGGAATATTGCTACATAAACATGGAAAATTCATAATAGTAAAGAATGCCACTGAAACTAGAATATCGACTGCAAAGATATTTTTTAACTAGAATCTATGACAAATGTGACTGTTTCGGTTTCTCCATTGTCAACTTCCTATTTCCCAGTAATAAATGACCCTTGACGCATCGTATTGTGTTTGAATATTTATATGCATGCACAATGCGTGTGCATGTTCTCTGTATATCAACCTTGGCAAAGCTAATAACCCAAAACCCTATCCAAATGGGTTATAAAAAAAGGAAGGAAACAATCAACAATCAATAAGTTTCCAGGTCACCACTAAATATTGATCAATACCTACATTAGCTATGTTGCTAATAATGTGAGTCATTGTATCTCTGTTGTTGCTATAAATATGGCTTATGCGCCATATTTTGTCTTGTACACATCAGTTATCCAACACGCATTTGGTACTAAGTATTAAATAATGGATTGAGGGAAACCACCCTTCATTAAAACCCACAACCAATACTAGTTTTTGAATGCGCTTCTGAATGCATGATCGAATAGCTTTGATCCATTCAGACAAAGTGTCCAGTTCTGGTTCGTCTGGTTTGCGCTTTACCCATTTTCTTGCATAGTCCTCAACTGCATCCATCAGTAACTTGACGATATACGGAATCTCCATAGCGAACAAAAATATTATTTAGTAAAATTCAAGTGCAGTTATCGTATCAAATCAGTCTTTTATCATATGTTTGATACGAGAAATAGGGCTATAGTGGTTGTTGTTAGGAGTAAAATGTTCTTGAAAATGTTTAATACCAATACCAACTATGTTCATTACTGATTTAAAAAAAGAATCTAATGATTTTTTGTCAGCTTTTTCTCGTTTTATCCATGTCGTGCAGTAAGTACGGAGTGAGTCGTGGATGATGTTACGACACTCATTCCAATTAATAATTGACGGGGGGGGCGATATTTAGGTCCTTTACTGAGGAATGATTTCAACTCTCGGTCATGGACGATGTTAAGGTCTCCTGTTATAACATGGGAACTGGGGCCATAAATGTATTCGGAATTACTGCAATTTCATGACGTAGGTGTATTGTCACTGATATTAACATCTTTACACACTTCGCTATAATTGAGCACATATTTCCGGGTAGATTTTCTAAACATAAAAATAAGAGGTAGCTCAGTATTATCAAAATAACCAGGATTTTTTTCTCTAACGGAATGATCATTTAAAATACCGGCAATATTTACAAAATCAAAACCTTTATTGGCATATTTGATTTTAATAAAATGTTTTTTATGGTCTTCAGGAGTTTAGAATAACAATATACAATTAAAATTTGGTCGATTTCATATTGAGGACTGCAATATAGAATTGTGTGGCAATCCTCTAAAATTTGATGTAATTAAGTAACAGGTTAAGAACAGAGCTTGGTTAACAGACAATGTCTGCCGTTGTTTTTTTAAATAGTAATTAGGTCCGAAATATTTGTATTGTTGGACAAAACTGAACAAACATATCGCTTGTGAGATGACACGTATAGTTTTTTTAGACATTAAACAAACTTTACACTCCAATGAATCACATTATATACCTGTGGGAATTGAAAAACATGTAATAATTATGTTTATCTCACAAACTAGGTATGATTGAAAGCAATCGTTATGAAAGAATAGTCCAAAAGAAGAACTGTTATTCTTCAATAGGACCAATATTGTCATAGCGACCAATTAACAGCTAATCGCTTTCATGTGTTTCTACTTTAGAAGACCTGTCATTTCTGCAGTTTTTTTGTTAAACCTTCCTACATTTCTGATGCTATATGGTGCCAGTCCTTGTAAGATTCATGCAATTTTGAAAAAAAAATCGAAACATGGCCAAAAAAAAACCCACCGACCTAAATATAATATTTTTAAGTTACGCTCATCCTGAGTAAGAAATAATAGGTCTTTCATTTCTGTATGTCTGGTATTCGAGAAATTTCTAGATAACTCTTGGTTAGAATAATAGCAAATTACGAAGTTAGCTCCCCTTAATTGTTAATTTCTAGTGCATTTCAACCATTTTATATCTTTAATTACCAGAACAGGAAAGAAACGAATGTTATATTCGTGCACCATTATACATTTTGAACATTTTTGTTGGTCATGTTTTCACCACTGCCTGATTCTTAGGCAGATTGGCACTTAAAAAAATGTCCTTATCGTTATTTATCCTGCAATCAGCCAACTATTGTACAAATGTTAAGTACATAAAATACAATTTTGCCTTATTTGCACCTGTACAAATAAAGCCTCCTGTTACTCCGCTTCCACATTGAGCAAACGTTAATGTTTATATTTCTTTTCAAGTAACAGCTCATTTTTGGGTCCTCTTCGCGGTCCGCGTTTAAATTCCGTCGATATCCTTGAAAATCAGATACAGCCATTTGGATTTAAACAACTAAACCGTAATGTGCCGAGTGTAAATTACATTGCTAAAAAAAACGTTGACATATTTTTTTTCTACTCTGATAGTGCACTTTTTTATTTGCTCTCTAACGTCATATATTCTTTCTTTCAAGTTTTCAATCTCGATGGCACCTGATGAAAAATATTCCCGAAACACAAGTGCTGTGCATAAAAATCACATCAGGTTTTGTAGATAAATCCTTACTTTACACTTATTAATTTTAGCTTATATTTGCTCGAGTTAAAGCTTGGTTCTTCTTGAAATCTAAATTCATGTTTTGCCTCCGATTGTCTATGCATACTAATAAGCTGATTGAAAAATGTAATAACAGTTCACAAATATATGTTTTGTTAAATCTGATATATACATATATAATTATCATAGATGAACTATGAGAGCAAAAAATAATAATTAATTTTTTTGCAGACAAACCAATTCAATTTTGATGTACAGTTTTCCTGTGAAATTTGTAAATCTTTTATTTCTGTTACAGATATGTTTGCCGATAAGCATCGAACCGGGATCCTATTGTTATCTCCTACAAAAATCATAAACTCATATTTAAAGCAATATAAATGATAACGTAAGGTAGTAGAAACATATAAAATTTCAAATAAAAAGTATACTTACCTGTTTTTTTAAACATTATATAACAATCTTTGTAATAGAAAAAAAAACTTTTTCGAGTATCAACTTAAATGACACCAGTTTTTTAACTGATTTCCTTCTACGCGGTCTAGCGAATGGTAACACAATCCATTGTCGGAAAAACGAGATACAATTGACATTCTAGCATATTCTGGAATACGATTTAGAGTTTCCTCTGTTTCACATTTGTGTAAAAAATGTTTCAAAGATCGTTGCTAATCAAATCTGTGAAATACGTATTTGTACGTTTGATCAACGTTTGATCAACTGCATTAATTTTTTGTATTACATATTTTCGGAATAACAAGGACAACCTTTATATTAAATGTTCACTATATTTATAGATATTTAGTTTGGGTAAAGTATAAATTCATCAATGACACGTATCATCATCTATTCACCGTACATTCCGAATTATGAAAAAAATCTATTCAAGTCTTTTAATTGCTGCAAAAAGTAATCGCTGAAATGTGAACATTTTTTGAAAGACGTTTCTTTAAATATACACAAGAGCTTATAAAAGGCCCTTGATAATGAAATCCGAAATACGATGTAAAATAAGATTTTTTGTTTGTAAGGTGCATTATTTGTGTATTGATCAGCTTGCATTTATAAATGAGTTGTCATTTGTCTATTTCAGGTTTTGAGTACTGACAAATAAATTTGACGAATTGAGTGTCCATGGGTAATTGCTTATTTTCTCCGTTATATATATATATATTTGAAAAAATGAATTTCCATGCTGATTCACGGTTCGTGAAATTGTAGCCCTCAATTCCCCCCCCCCCCCCCATCCCCCCCCGTCCCCCCCGTCCCCTCCCCCTCCCACTCCATCACCAAAAATGATATTAGTATAAAGACTTATTGTGTTACTGGCTGTATTATAGAGAATTAAATCTTTATAATCTCAACCAAAAAAACATATATGTCCAGGTGAATTGTGAAAAATGTGCATGGGCAAAATGTCGTCCTTCCTTTTAATATTATATTTTTAAGTTGGGACAAAAATGTTTTGAACAATTTTTATATTATATGTTTGATTTTTTATGTGTCATAGAAGGATTCTTGCGAAGATTTATTTAGGGTAAACACCCAAATCAAGTTGAGGTTTTTATGACATATTTGCAATATTTAATGGGGCTGATTTCATGTGTCACATTTAACAGGCTTATATATTTAACGATCATGTATTCGAAAAAAACATAAAACTAATATAAATTGCAAAGTGAATGAATAAACTTAATTATCAAAAATCGACGTGTCATAGCTACAGAGAAAATTGATATTTACAATAACGAAGTATAATTGACGCGTGCGATTTATTCAACACAATATAAAAGGTCATAAAAATGTAGAAACCCGAATTTTACTGAAAGCGGGGATTGCCAGTTTTAAGGTTTGCATTTGCCAATAGCCACTTTCGCCGTTTAGTAAAGCTAGGTAAAAATTCCGAAAACAGATTTTGTTTGCATTGATATTTATGATCATTTAACGTCAAATATATTGCATTATGGACAATTGAACAAATCAGAAGTATTTTTCACGGAAGGAAATGAATATCATTGAAAAATCGACCAGTGTATTGAAAACTATAGACCAAGCTCGTAAAGGGAGACAAGCCTTATAAATCTGCACAAACAATTTTTTGTAAAAATTAATAGATTTACCTGGCACTGAACGCTACTAAAAATTTCCAAATAACTATTGTTCGGAAACGTTCTTAACGCTACTGAATCATACGCAAGGCGTTTTTTCTTAAATACCTGAATCTGTACTGATCGATACTTAATCGCTCGCGGTAGCCAGTACTGAACATGTACTGAACGACTGAAAAATATCTTGACATTTTTTCTTGCGATAAATTTAGACATTTAAGAGTTGTTCAGTTTAAAATGACCGTTACAGTAGTAAAACCCGTTACCATTGTATACAGGTATATGACCAAAAGTACATAAAAAATAATTAAATTTATTTAAAGTCAACTTTGCCTCAGGGAGCTGGAAAGTTAATACTAAATATACTATGTATCTATCAATGGAGTATGTTAAAACAAATTCAAATAAACAATATCAGGGCTCAATCACTGACATTTGAGTTGTTGATACCTTCGGGGATAAACAGTTCATTAGCAGCATTATCATTTACATTTAAAAAGTCAGGGAAGTATAAATAAATAGAGAAATAATAATAATAATAATGAAAATTTATAAGCGCCCTATATAAAAAAATAAAAATTACTCTAAGGCGCTGTTCATTCAACATGGTAATTAAAACAAATGAATGACAAAAACATAAAACATACATTGTGTCAGATTCAAATACTGAAAAATAAAAAAAATAAAAAAATATAACAAAAATGCCTATCATAAAATAAAAGGTCAATACGCAAATACATGTTAAAACAAGAATAAGATTCATCTATAGTTAATCTCTTATATTACTAAGTAGCACTGCATTAATGGAGCTGCAATGTAATATGCTCTGTGTAGTCAATAACTTAGACAATTCACAACAATAACTAAATACCTACAGTTCGGAATTAAACTCAAATGAGTACTCCTCACTGTGTTACGTATTCAGTATGTACATATATTTTTTTCCTCACTTCATGCGTTGTCTATTAATGTATAAGACAACAATAGATGTTGTTTAATGTGAATAAGAAAACGTCTAAATAACACGATACATAATTAAATATAAAAAATCACAAATTTACCGATGTGAGGATGCCTTTTTCATGGGATAGGTAACTCTCCATACAATTTTGTTGTATTCAAAATTATCAGGACTACGTGTCTATAAGCTACTGAAGTAGACCATATAATTTACAATAATCATCCGCTTACAACGTTTATGCAACTCAGATAAAAAGTCCGATTTCGAATGTTAAAATGATATGGGCACTGATACCACTGGTAGCGAAGGAACAACTTTCCGTTTTGAAACCCTATTTTTTTTTTTTTACTTTCGTGTTAGTCAATCGTTGTGCACTGTTTAAATCATTGTCTCTCTCTCTTTCTCTTTACTGTGACTACGAAGTAGTCTGTCGGTTCTAGAATTATTGTCGTTAAATGCCCCTTTGCTATCTTTTTCATGATATACATAATGAGAAGTTCTAGATTAATTTGTTGCATTCACGTAATGTCATTACATCAGGTTGACTATATATCAATTGAAATTTTATTATTACTAGGCGAGGGAGTATCATTCATCGCGGTTATGTGATAATACAAGTTTTGTCAAATAAAAAAAATCAAATAAAAAAAGGGAAAATCTCACCTCCTGGAATCTCTACTTCAATATTTTCTCGAAAAATATTTGTCCATATTCTTTCCCAGACGGTTCTGTTCGTACACGCGTTAGAGCGCAAGAGCAACATGTTTCTCTTTTTGCAATTTTCAAGTTGTGTGGAATAAGGCAATCCCCAGTATCTTGCATCTAATGAGGGATTTCCATCTTCTAAAATTTTAAAATGCGGACGATAACACCCCATTCAATATTACAATGTACACATATCTGAAGAACAATGACTATAACACTTTTCAAACGAAATACTTCCATAGTGCTTTTCTGCATTTAGTTTAAAAAGGTACGCTAAAACTCAAACATGTCTTAGCTAAGCATGCAGAAGTATTATCATACATGATAAAAAATGCACTAAATCAAAAGGTACCTTCAAACCGGAGCGCCACAATCCCATAGATATTTATTTGCAGGTACATTTACTTATCCATAACAAATGGTATGCTTAATAATTATTCTTCTAATTTAATAAATAAAGGAAAATTGATACATTCAAATAGCTGTAAACACTGTTGGAGTTCGTGTGATTTATTAAGATTTTGCTTTTTACCTCAATTGCTTAGCTCTGATTGGGACTGACAATGTATGACAACACTGGCAATGTACTGTTGCCTCTCATTTGTAATAGTTGAAACCCTCCCCCTAACCTGGGGCACCTGTATAACAGAACAACATAAGAACAAACTATGAAAATCAGTTGAAAAGGTTTTAACTCCGCAGATAGATACAAACCAAAAACATCTAACAAAAACACAGACTGGACGTGGCAGGGTCTTGATACATCCACACAATAAAAAAGACGCTAAGTGCAGATCTGAGATTACTCGCAGCTACTGACAGCTAGTTCAAAGCCAATAACAAATAATTGAAAAATCATGCATCTAAGACTAAAATATGAATCAGTACATGTACACATCCAGCATCCAATAGATTTTTGTGTGAAGACGTCTTTAACTTCCAAACTAAATCTTTGTATCTATGGAAAAATTTTGTAAAGGTTTTAAGTAATTTGTGGTAGCGAACTCCCTGACTTAATAATTAACCAGTTAAGTCTTTTTTTAATATATGGTTTCATTTATTCAAGTAGATGTACATCTTTAGTTTTAAAACTTTGATGGTTCCTGTTAACGATAAATCAAGCGTATATAAACCAAGCGTGAAGATTGCGATATCCATATCATTTTACTTGTATCGCATTTCAAAAATATTAAATTCTAAAACCAAAGTATAAGACACATGTTATTATTACATCTTGATGCAATCGATGAACCTTGCGAACTGTCATTTAGGTCGATCAGCTGATTATTTGTCGATTATATGTAGTCACTTACGATTGAGCTGAAATCACAAAAACGAAATTGCTGGCAAAGTATATCGACAGTTCTGATATATGTCGATGAGATTGTTTACTAAAACTGATTTTGCTAAATATATCTTCGTCATTTGAACTATGGCGGATATTTGTCCCATTAGAAATCTTACTACGTCTTCTTACTTTTATATTAATGTCTTTAGATTTGTCTGCAAATTTTACGACATTGATGAACTTTATATTTGTCAGTATTTAAACATATTCCCCAATGAATAATCAAATCTTATTAAGCCTTTCAGTTCATTTTCAGTTATTTCAATTGCAGTATAATTATTATCGTTATGATATTAATGCAATTAACAAATCTGATATGTTTTCAATTACTGTAAATTCAGAAATTATTGCGAGGTTTTATTTGTTGCGAATAGTGCGACTGGGTTAGTATCGTAATAATAAGAACTCGCATTCTTAAATCTGACAAATGTATTTGCATGCAGATATTCGTCTAATTGCAATAATTATTCTCACATTTTGGTCTGTCATGTCGAAATGGCAATAATCAGTGCACGCAATAATTTCTAAATTTACAGTATAGAATAACAATTACAGTATAATGCAAATGCATCAACAAGAATTATATAAATGTATACACTTAAATCGCTATCTAAATATAATAGTAACAAACTAACCGCACAAGCCTTGGATACTTATATTTGTAGTCATACAATGTGTTTCATATAGTTGTGGTTGATTTCCCCTGCACATAAAGGTCATGCACATTTCGTCATCGTTGCCACTTCTTTGATAATCACCATTAAAGACTAATAAACAATAATATCAGATAGTACTCAGTTCAGATACTGAATTTTAACTTTTTTTTGTCTTTAAATTCCGCTGAAAGAAAATATCTAATTAAAGACAATAGTAGTTTTCCAACGGTCAAATCTCTCTAGGCCATTAAGCATGTACATTAGAAGGTTTAAGTAAAACCTTAGGTCATTTTCTCCAAAATATGAGTGAATCATTATGAGATCAAATCAGCACTACCTATTACTCCGGAAATTCTTCTTAAAATCCGGTCCGTGCTGAATTTTTCAGACATTAATAGTATGACTTTTTAGTGTATGTTTTTATTCTCCTTTTTTCTTATGTGCCGAAAATCTAATTTCATGAATTTAGTCGGCCCAGATGGAGAACCACATAAAAGTTTAAAAAGGGAAGACATAGTGGTAAAAGTGAACATGTTGATAGTACCTTTCAAGTGGACTAAAACTATACAGTTTGGGGAAAAAAATCAAGGATCCCATTGATTAAAAGTCTGGAATCTAAATTATGTCCATATTCTGCGTATTGCTATGTTTTTGTTTATTCCAAATTGGCTATATGTAAAGTGAGAGGAATTTTGTTTGTTTATTCCAAACTAGCTAAAGATATAGGGAGAGGGTTGAGATTTCACAAAACATGTTTAACTTCTCCGCATTATTGTGCCTATATCGATTCAGGAACCTCTAGCCTTTTTAAGTCTCGTGAGTTTTAACATTTTTGGTTCATTTGTATATTTCAGAGTTGAGTGTGGCATTCATTTCGTTTAACTAGTATACATTATTATTTAGGGGCCAGCTGAAGCTCGCCCCCGGCGGCTGGATTTTATGCTGCATTGAAGATCCATTGTTGGCCTTGGAACGTTTTCTGCTATTTGGTCTGGTTGTTCTCTCTTCGATATATTCACCGTTTCCATTCCCTATTCTATGATAAGCGTCTTCTTGTATCAAAGAATCTCCTTTACATTCGAATCCACAGTCGGTAAAATGCCACATAATGGAAAATGACACAATCGATACATTTACAGATAAGATGACTATGTGGTATATTAAAATCAAAGACTTCGAAAACATGTCGCAAGCGAGTTGAGACACAGACATGTTGTATTGATCAACCAAATCTTGATTGTGAACGTGAAATTTACACTAGTAAACCAATTTTGAAATGCAACGTTCATTTTTTTCTTTACAGCTCTTAAAAGACGGAACAAATAGTTTTTAAGTCATGTTCAGTGTTTCAGTTTATATTCACACTTATTCACAGTAATACATTCAGTACTGTTTAGACAATACGCTTGCAGTCAATAAATTTCTGTTTAAAATGTTCAATAGCTGTCATTTATCTGTATGCACAACATACTGAATAGTCTGAAAAGGTACAGAACAATAATTGATTGGATCTAACTATTCTGTAAGATCTTTTTTGATCATAAAGCTCCTTAACTGTTTCGGTTCCTATATATCATTGGCTTTCAAAAATTTCGGCTTTTATTCTTCCTAAAGAAGTTAAATCTAGAAAAATCCTTCGGACGCATGAATTTTTTATAGTGTTATTTCAGATTTTTGTTTGAGTGAAAGAAAGGCGTCTAAGCAGTATTGAATGTTCATAACATAGAAATAAGTTGAAAATTACTCTGTTAAACTTTATAACAGTAACACACTCAGTTCATTTGTAGTTTGGGGAGGGGGGGTGCTGCCGATTTTATTTCATATAAATTTTATTAATTCTGATTCATTAAGGAATAAACGTTTAAGACAGGAAGTAAAAAATAAGATGTTTCCATAAAAAAACGGGGGTTAAATGAAATATTCATTGAGTTACAAAAAAGAAATCTTGTTTCTGCGATAAAAAAAAAAGATAGGAAAATGTTTAGCTTGGAATAAACAGCACAACTGGTATTCCTACATATTCTTTAACATCATTTACAAAGGATGAAATTTTACAAAATCACAAATCTGTCCTTCTTTCATTTGGTATTAACATCAAAGAAAACGAAGAAAATATACCGTCATTATACTGGATACCAAAACTTCACAAAACTTCGTAGAAAGAACGATACATAGCTGGATCATCAAGATGTTCGACTAAACATCTTTCTAAAGTGTTGACTACTATTCTTTCTACAGTAAAAGATGGCCTTCAAAAATATTGTGACGAGATATATTCAACCAGTGGTGTCAATCAGATGTGGATTCTCAAAAATTCTAAAGATCTACTGCTAAATCTCAGATCACAATCTGAGATTTAGCAGCAACATTAAGATCTTTGATTTTTCTACGCTTTACACTACTATTCCCTATGCTTAATTGAAAGATCGACTTCACCATCTCATTAAACAGAGTTTTTGCTATAAAAATGGGAATCGTAGATATAAATTTCTTGTTTTGGGCTATAATAATTCTAATTTTGTGAAGAACCACACTGATTCTATCAGAATATACAGTGAAGATGATATTATCAAAATGCTGGACTTTTTAATCGACAATATATTTGTTGAGTTTGGAGGATTGATATTTCAACAGACTGTCGGTATTCCAATGGGTACTAATTGTGCTCCCCTTCTGGCCGACTTGTTTTTGTACTCATATGAAACAGAAATCATTCAGAACCTTCTAAAGGACAATAGAAAAAGCACCTTGCAAAATTCTTTAATTTTACTTTCAGATATATTGATAATATCCTATCACTGAATAACCCATATTTCAGTCAGTACTTGCATCTCATATATCCCAGTGAACTTGAAATTAAGGATACTACTAATACAATAAGGACTGCTTCTTACCTTGATATTTTCCTCAATATTGACACAGATGGACGACTTCACACTAAAATCTTTGACAAACGGGATTATTTCAACTTTTCAATTATCAATTTTCCATTTCTCAGTAGTAACATACCCTCTGCTCCGTTATATGGTGTTTACATATCTCAATTGATACGTTATGCTCGAGCATGTTCACACTGATTTCATATACAGGAGTGTGCTACTTACGTTCGTGTTGCTTAGTCCTTAGTTTTCTATGTTGTGTCATCTGTACTATTATTTGTCTGTTTGTCTTTTTATTTTTAGCCATGGCGTTGTCAGTTTGTGTTCGATCTATGATTTTGACTGTCCCTCTGGTATCTTTCGTCCCTCTTTTACGTAGAAACTGCTCCAACAGAGTAATGAGGAGGAAAGAGTAAAAATGACACTCCGTAAATGTTATGGACACCTTCACGAATTTGTTGATCTATACGATGTGTCTGAGTCCAAACTGACTAATGACATTTTTACCACGTCTTAGATTGTGGTTTAACATCGATGTCGTCTGTCTGCTAAGTGCCGAACATGACCTATTCCCGAATATGACTGTTAAACCGAGTGTGAATTTGCATTGTTATACGACGTGTCTCGGTATTTTGTACATCCAACATTCATGTATTTATTTTTGATGTTTGATGGTTTCAGTTGGATAATGTGTTATGTCTTATCGTTTGTTGTCCAAAAAATTATGAAATTGCCTTTCAATACCATCATTGTCATAAAAATTGTTTGACGAGTATTGTGAAAATAACTGTATAAAGTTCGCGATTACATGTTAGTTACGTAAGCGCGTCATTGTTTGTGATATCCTGTGGGGTTTGTCGTTGATGGAATATGTTCGTTGTTGTTCTGCGGTTTGCATGTTGTGTCGACTATTATATTATGTGTTTATGCGTTTCTCTGTGATGAATGTTCTTGTGTGTGTTTGTGCTGTATATCTGTCACGTAGTGTTGTCATTTTAGCGATATTTTTTAACATTGTCATAAAGCGGGAGGTTTGGCTAGCCATTAAACCAGGTTCAACCCACCATTTTTTCTTAAAATGTCCTGTACCAAGTCAGGAATATGGCAGCTATTATCAAATAGTTCGTTTCTATGTATTTTGGCGTTTGTTTTTGTTGCACTTCAGTGGTCCTGTTGTTCCTTTGTTTTCCTCTTATAGTTGATATGTTTCCTACGGTTTTAGTTTGTAACCCGGATCTGTTTTCCCTCAATCGATTTATGACTTTTGAACACCGGTATACTTCTGTTGCCTTTATTTAGCAACGCAAAATAATTTCAATCCCTTGAGAACCTTCGATTACCTATTGCAGGATTTCAAATTTGTTTAAATTGTTAATTCGTACTCGTCCTAAACATGAATGAAATAGTTGCATCTGGACACAAATAATAATCAATTATCAAAAAGATCATAAATTTATTATAGTATCTGGCTGAGTCCACAAAATTAGCGAAGACAATTTCAATTGAATGAGGTTTAGATGTGTACGACGATCGCATTGAGTCTGAAAGGAAGTTGGTAATCGATTGTTCAATAACTGAGAAATATTTCTATCGGACATTTGATTGGTAAATAACTTAATTCATAATATTATAAAGATAATTTCTATTCAAAAGATGTTTCTTCCTCAAATACTCATAATAAATTTCACTTCCTGGATATCTAGTGTTATCCACACTAGGACGCCATTGGCAATCGACTGTTTGTATTCAAAACCTGATTTAAAATACATGTAAACATTGATTTATTTCAATCGGAACGTGGTAGAGTTTAGTTTACGTGTTGAGGACACTAAGACCCGACCGCTTTAACCTTGATGTGATCAGGTCGTACATTCATCAGTTTTACGTAGTGTCTATTTCAGTCTTCAATTATTAATTGGAATGAGTGTCGTAATATCATTCACGACTCACTTCGTGCTTACTGTTTTAAATGGATAAAACGGGAAAAAGCTGACAAAAAATCTTTGGACTCTTTTTTTAATTCAGTAATGAAGATAGTTGATATACGTATACAATATTTTAAAGAACATTTTACTCTTAACAACCATAAAAATCATATTTCTCGTATCAAACATAAACTAAAAGAACTAGCCAAGGAATTTGTTTTTGTCCCGGCTGTTAAAGCTGCTAATAATATCATTATAGTTTGACGTAAATTTTACATTGAGGTTCTGCAAAAGGAAAACACGAATTCACAAACATTCCAACTGACTTCATTTTCAGAAAACGATATCTGTAACAAACATAAACTATTAGCTACTTCTTTACAAGCAGAACCAAATACAATGAGAGTCCCAACTATGTTCTGGCTTCCGAAGCTGCACAATACACCTTACAAATATAGATTTATTTTGTCTTCAGGTCATTTTTCCACAACTAAATTGTCTATTCTACTTACTAGTACACTTGGTACAATCAAAAACCTGATAATAAATTGTTCAAATAAGGCCTTTGAAAATAGTGGAATTAACTACTTTTGGAGTGTCAAAAACTCGTTGGAAGTACTTTATAAATTGCATGCATATATTGGTGATTTTGAATCTGTTCTACCCTATATACCACTTTGCCTCATATTCTTATTAAGAAAAAAATCACACACCTAATTAAATGGGCATTTGAAAAGTCGGAATGCGAATACATATGTTCAACCTCTTTTAGGTCATTTTTTAGTAGCAACAAACAAAAGAGCTATGTCAATTGGACATGCTTTGATACTATATCTGCCCTTGAATTTTTACTTAATAACATTTGTGTTCGCTATGGAGATTCCGTATATCGTCAAGTTATCGGAATTCCAATGGGGACTAACTGTGCACCACTTATTGCGGACCTGTTTTTGTATTGTTATGAGTTACAATTTATGACTAAAATCAGCAAAGACCCAACGAAACAACATCTGATACAAAAATTTAACAATACTTTTAGATATTTGGATGATATATTTATACTAAAGAAATTTATCCTGTTGAACTTACTTTAAATAAAGCTAATACTAACAATGACCACTGTCCTTTCCTCGATCTTGATATCTATATCATTAACGTGAAGCTTAATACAAAAATTTATGATAAAAGAGATGATTTTTCATTTCCTATCGTTAATTATCCATTTTTAGATGGTGACGTTCCCTTGTCACCATCTTATGGTGTTTATATATCTCAACTTGTACGATTCGCTCGTGTATGTAACAACGTATAAGATTTTAGCGAGAGAAATTTATGTATCACTGAAAAATTATTACACCAGGGTTTTTGATATCATAAACTAGTCAAAACATTTACTAAATTTTATCATCGGTATAAGGATATCATTCGTAAATACAACTCAACATGCAGACATCTTATACGTTCGGTATATTTCACATCCAATCTTTTATGGTAATATTCTTTACAAAGCACAAAAATGTCAGTATTCACCTCAAAAGCTAATAAAACCTTTAAACAGACTTATTAAGAAGGGATATAGCTACGATACTGTTGTCAGGTCATTAAAAATTGCATATTTTGGCTTTAATATTGATTCACTTATAGGGTCTTTGCATCGGAATTAAACATATTTATTCTAAAACCAGTTGTTGGCATGACACGGGTTATGTTCTTCTCATATATTTTATGATGGTATAATACTGAACCCCTAACAGGAGGGATTGTTACTGATATTCATATGATGAAGACATAATCTTTCAATCAGTTTAATTGAAGTCTGGAGCTGGCATGTCAGTAACTGCTAGTAGTCTGTTGTTATTTATGTATTATTGTCATTTTATTTATTTTCTTTTGTTTCCTATTCTGACATCGGACTCGGACTTCTCTTAAACTGAGTTTTACTGTGCGTACTGTTTTTTCTACATTGGCTAGAGGTATAGGGGGAGGGTTTAGATCTCAAAAAACATGTTTAACCCCGCCGTATTTTTGCGCCTGTCCCAAGTCAGGAGCCTCTGGCCTTTGTAAGTCTTGTATCATTTTTAATTTTAGTTTCTTGTGTATAATTTGGAGTTTAGTATGGCGTCCATTATCACTGAACTAGTATACATATTTGTTTAGGGGCAACCTGAAAGACGCATCCGGGTGCGGGAGTTTATCGCTGCATTGAAGACCCATTGGTGGCCTTCGGCTGTTGTCTGCTCTATTGTCGGGTTGTTGTCTCTTTGACACATTCCCCATTTCCATTCTCAATTTTATTTGACAAAACAACACATCCAATTATGAGGGGTAACGTATCAATTGTGATTTGTAACGCTATATTTATAGGTCATCGATGTTTTTTTTTTTTCAAACGGGAGGGTGTTTCTACGCTACAATTTCATCGAAGGGCGACAGTCCTGTTATGAGATGTGGCCGAGAATCATCCGCGAGAGTGAAAGACGTTTGATAATATGTGTATCGCTATTTTGCCTGTGACGTCAATGATGTTTACACTACACGTGTGTCCTTAGTTTCTAGCGCTAATTTTCTATCTCAAGCGAGAAGCATGATATGAAAAATTATCACAAAAACATTTCAAAGGGTAATACTCAAAATAGCGATAATAAACAATACCACATAAGAGGATGCTTCTCCGTTTTCAGACAATAATTTACTAATTTCTACCTTTGCCTATTAAGTAGCTACATACAACTTTTGAGTTTATTCTTATTTTAGACAAAAAGTTAAAGAACCACATAACAGTTACTTCCTCAGTTGTCAGTTGTTATTGCGTTGATATATGGTAAACATTTATCTTAGAATAAGGTGCGTGTTTTGAATGAAGCTGCTTAAGGATTAAGATAATTCAAGGAAATTACATTTTCAGCCATTTTGTCTACATATTTGGTATTCAATTATTTCATTGCAATAGCAAGGCACTATGACTGTTGCTTTTTTTTTTACTTTCATGGAGTATATTGTTTAAGTACTTGAGTATAATGTGCATTAAGAAAGGATTGAAAGATACCTAGGTTACAATAAAAAGTTACAATTAAAAAGATAACAGACGAAAAGACAAACTACAGTCTACAAAAATTCAGGATTGACCTATATGAACCCTATCAAAAACCCGGGATGATCTAAGGTTATCTGGAAAGGTAAGTAGATCTTATCCACATGTTGCATCCATGGTGCTGCTCAGAGCAGCAAATATTTTTCTCAGAAGATTATTGATGAGAAGGCACTATATCCGTTTCCGGTAAAAATGAAATGAATGGTTTACAAATTGTTTTCTTCATAATTCAGGGTTGATATACCTCAATTGATATTTTACGCTCGAATCTGTTCTAATATACGGTCCATCGTAACAGAGATATACTCCGTAAACAAAAACTTCTTAAACAGAGTTAATACCGACTGAAACCGACACTATAGGTTGTACGTTAACCATCAGGAATTGATTTACCTAATAGTATACGATTTGCCTATGTCTCAACTCACCGATCTTACATCTTTATATATCAGAAAAGACATCTGATATGTAAATTTAACGATTGTGTACTATTTCCGGAAATGACATTATGACTGAATGCATGCATATCAAGTACATTTATTTTGTCTTAGTTTATGCTTTTTACCTTGATTCGTATCTTCTTTAAAAATTTATGAGATTTTCGGTATACATGGTTTGTACTTTTTGAATATGAAAAAAAACATCCCCTTTCCAGAGACAGAACGCTACGACACAAACCATACATAGAACACACATAGAACACTATAAGACTAATAGGACGATTTTGTAGCACATGTCTCTGATAAAGACGCAATAGTAGAAGAATCGACAAGATATACATAAAAAGTGCCTCTCAGGCAGATGCAAGATTTTATTTTTTGAGAAGAGAGTATTTGCATCATGTTGAATGTACCATAATGAATTTGAAATGACGAATGTCAATACAGACTCTGTTCTATTGTGTTTGATTTTCCACTGAGTGTACGGATTGTATGTGCTGATTTGGTACACTTTATTTTTTTTCTCTTACACTATATAAAGAGTGCGTCTCTTGTACAGTATGGAAGTAGCAACAAACTTCCCCGTGATTGAGAAATATGCTCTAATATAATATCAGCTACTAGCTACTATTCTTGATGTACCTTCTATTATGTATGCTACTTTATTTTACCGCTTTCTGACAGGTTCTTATGTGAATGGATATGCAGTCCGTTTGAATTATAGGCCCTTTTCATAGATCATATGTTGTCTTGTATATATTATATATCTTGATTTACCCCGTGGTTGTCATATTGATGTTAATGTTTCTTTGCCATGTTTACTTTAAAATTTATTTGTTGGGCAATGTACGTCAGAATTTGAAGGTTTTTTTTTTGCATGCTTTGCAAGAGCATATTTATGATTTTTGTATATTACCCTACAGCTGTGTTCTTTGATTCATAAATGTTGCGAGATTGATATCTAGCAAAAAAGTCAGGTCAAAACGTCTAGAACTTGCGATAAGCTGATAATGTGTGCTCCAAATTAAATTGAAGGTATCATTGTAACTTGGAAATGACGAACAGAGTATATAGTTCTGTATTATGATTTTGGTATTTTCATGTGCATATTGTAATTCTGTTTCATGAATTGATACAAAATCGTTTACATTACGATGTGCATGACGAGCTCTAATATACGTATATATTATCGGGTTTACATGTTTTTAAAATTGATCTCTGAACAGTCAGAATATTTAGCATTCAAAAAGAACGAACCAACAACTGTTCATCCTTCATAATCAGTACATAACGATAATGACACATTATGCTCAAACACAATACGATCGTTTAATATCACAATCACAAATACGTAGTTTCATATGTTTTATCTAACCTGATTTCAGTTAATTTTAATAAAGGCAGGTACTTACCCTTATGAACTAATACTGCTTCAGATTTGTTGTATTTTTTGCACTTATCTAAACTTAGCTTCGATCTAAAGTAAATGTCCTCTTTAACATGTTTTAGACACATGCATTCTTGCAGATGTTTCTAAAACAATACAATAGCATATATCAATTGAATAGAATACTCCAAAGCAGATATTTTCCGTAAAATACTTTGTAAGTGCTAACATAAACAAGTCATTTGCTGGCGGATAATACATTTTCTTTTGCATTTTCGCTGCAAATAACAATGATGTGTATTGTATCTTTAAAATGATCATACATTTCATAATTTACCTCACCAATTTGCTAAAACAAATGATTCTGTTGTATGCAAAAGGAATATATATTGTTTAAAGACATTTACAGTACCAATTCTATTGCAGCAAATGCACATTTCGACACATAATCATGTATCTTGAGTGATGATCAAGGTCAACCACCTAATACTAATGTTAGAGGTCAAATACAACCAAAAAGGACCAAACTTAAGTCCAAATCCTAACGAAAAATCCGAGGTATGCATAAAGGAGATACTTTTCTTAATTTAAATGATCTTGAAAACAATAAAATTACTTGCTTTACCTTATAGCTAAAATATTTCGTATTATTACATTTCCATAAGCATAATCCGGTTGATGACTCCAAAAATATGTCTCTTTGCTCTTGCAACTGGTAACATCCTACAATAAGATGATTTTAATAAAATGAACATTACAACGATTATATTAGTTCTACTCATGGAGTTGTCATTGCATCTTACCGGTTTCTATACGTTGTTGAGTTACTGTCTCATATGATCTAGCATTACTCTATATTTTTTAGGAACACTACGTTGATGAAGTTTAAGAAACACTTTTCTATTAATTGCTTAAGGTTGTTCGCTTATCTGTTATCAAGCTTTTTGAAAGACTGATATAAATTGACAGAATATAAAATACCGACCTAAAAAAGCAAAAAAATCTGTGTCCTTGTTTTTGAGATATAGTCCATTGAAAATTTAGAGGAAAATGATTCTCACTAGATTTTTCATTTATTTAACATTGGAACCTTTTTTCAAATACTATGAAAAGCTAGATTTTCAAAAATGGCTTTTAAATCATATGTAATAAAAAATCATTAACAAATAAGTAACGTATCTCACTGATGCAAAGCCGTTAGTTAGTTTTCTCGTTTCATTTGTTTTACATTTGTCATTTCGGGGCACTTTATAGCTTACTATGCAGTAAGGGCTTTTCTCATTGGAGGTACGGTGACCTAAAGTTGTTCATTGCTGTGTCATTTGGTCTCTTGTAGAGAGTTGTCTCATTGGCAATCATACCACACCTCCTTATTTTTATATAGCTTTGAATTCTAGTCCACTTGGCTATCATTGTTGGTCCAATTCGGTTTATACCTTTCAATGTTATAACAATCAGTGGGTCAGTGCCTATGATGATATATTCTTACTCCCCGAGTGTACAACTTACACATAAGTTCAGTACGTCAGTACTGGTATGTCAATACGGATATTGGTATATTGAAATTGCTGTTAAAACCCAAGGAAATTAATTTAACAAATGTATTTGATGTACTGTTCGATCAGCTTTTGGAAGTCTGATTTAGATTTTTACATTATTAAATTATATGGCCTTCAGCAAAAAATGAAGATATATAAAGTGTCTAAATGCGTACACGAAGAAGTAAAATTGGTATCGTATAGTCAAATTTTCACAAACATATGATATGTTGAAAATATCTTTATTATTCCAAACTTTTCAAGCAAGTTACCGTTAAACAAATTTTGTGTCTTTATAAAGCCATATCTGTTCGCGAGTTTGAATGTTTGCCGGTTTTAGTTTAACTCTTATATTCCATAAGGGTTAAGTAATATGGGAAAATATTTTCTCAGCTTTCTTTGAATCGTGAATTAGCAAAAAATAAACCTGTTGCGACCAACATAACAGTATACTGTTTAAAGTATATTATTTAATACCCTCTATAATAACGTCAGTATTAAATTGGTAACATACATCTGGCATATGGAAGATTGATAACTTTTTAAGATATCATGAAATATAGTGAATTGTTTTTAACAAACTTTCGAAATGATATAAATCGACCTCTGTATTATATCATCATATTAACTTTTGAAATCTAACAACAGGAAAAACAGGTGAAACACAAATTTGGTTATGTCTGTACGCCAATAACATAGCAAAGCTTTGAAACATAAAGAGATAATCTTAAGATTATGGGCTTTTAAGGGAGTTGAAAGAAAACTAAGTTAAATTGTTTGTGAAATTATGCAGTTTTCGATCTCATAAAGCTGCAGGCAGCTTGTTTTCTTATCACAAAGACATGCAGTAAAAAATCTACCGTCGTTTTTTATGGCCGTTATGACAACAAGTTATCGAAGCAGTACACTAAAAGAATAAAATAGGGTCCATATATTCGGGGTTTTTTTTATTATTATTTTCTCTGTTTATACAGCGTGTGTGTGCATAATAACGTCACATCTATTTTTATAAATGTTCCATCGTCGGTAAATGCAAGCATTCTCTCTGTAGACTACAACGTGATGTATCGTTTATTTAATATTTTGATGAAAAAGTAACCAACTTTTATTCAAATAGAGCTTTATATCGAACAGTACACTAAACGTGCTTCCATGTACAGCATCTCCGTGATCCTTTGTAACTACTTTTAAATTCATGCAATTGATTTGATAACGTCTTTGTGTTTCCCATAAAATGCGAATGCATATTATTAGCAACGTGGCAAAACAAGACCCTAAACTAAGATAAGTTACCACCAGCCCTTACTATAGTATGTCCTTATGTACGACGAATTTTCTTCGCCATAGGGACAATCATCATTCGAAGTATTCCAAAAAAATATTTTTTGTTGCAATTTACCTTTTTTCATGAAATATCTTTTGCGTTTTTGGTATAATGGTAAAAGATTTCAGCAAGGTAAAGTTTATACAATATCTACTATCAAAAGGAACTCAACATATCTGACATGTTTGACCAAATTGACAAATTATATAGGCATTTGCAATCAGTATAAAGATATATTAAATGCATACATACCCAACACTTCCATCCAAGAAGTAACTTTTTGGTAAATACCTATACCTATCCAAAACTGTTTCTGACGTAATACAGACAGTTTAGAAAGAATCGTTGCATCATGTTCAAGTCCGTCTGCACCACATTTTGAAGTTGCATTCATCCATGTTAAGCTGATATTGTAATTTTGAACATCTTGACATTGTCCAGTTTTATCTGTAAGATGAATTAACCAAACAAAATCATTTGATTTTATATTTTTAAATGAATAATTTTTGTCGGGTTTCTTTATTTTCTACTCCTAAAATGATACTATTGGACGGGGATATTATTCTATATGATTTTATACGACAAAATTAATATAATATTAGGTATTTGGAGGCTTAAAATTTTAAGTCATATGAAACGAGTTTCTTGAAATATAAAGTTATAAATTACTAAACTAAGTGTTGTATGCACGTGTTTTACATTTATTACAAATCAATAACTTATTATCGACAAGTAATATTTTATTCATTGTCACTTGATTGCAAGTTGATTAACTTGTGTTGCCGAAATATACCGGATTTTACTCGAAAGTTAATTAGCTTGCGATAAAAAGTCAATATATGAAATATTACGTGCATACAGGATTTGTGTAGTATAATATATGCATGCATTGGTTCAATAATTTTGATAACATTAATACAAGAGAATCGTTTCATATGAATTTGACAGTTTTTAAATGATTTGATGTATTCAACTTCTATAAGAATCAACTATTACTATTTCATCACGGTTTTCTACTCGCACTAGCGCTGTACAGTGGCCGAAGTTTTAACGAGATGTCTCGTAGTCACGTTCACTGCATACGGAAACAATTTGGGATAACGGGAAGATAATAATTCAACAGCAGTACATTTATCGAGATTTTGAAAATATAAAGGATTTTCTTTTAGACGAATGTTCACGTACACTTGTTTTATACTAAAACAGTATATAAAACATATTCAACTTTTATATTTAACTTGAAGTTTCATATGACTTTATTACTTTGATTGAGTAACTTGCTATACATACATAACCTTAAAACGATCCCAAAGTCAAAAGTTTTAACTAAGTGTCTAAACATCGACAATAGCAGGCATATATTTTTTACGCAAGTTCATCTAAAGGACACTTATCTGTAACGATTGGAAAAAAAGGATGGAGAGCCAGGAACTCGAAATAATAATATGAATGTCAGTTTAATATGAGAAATGTATGGAGCGAAAAGGGCCCTAGTGAATTGACAAACCGGGACAAAATCAAACAATTCGTTTAAGCAGAAGACACTAAAGGTAGAAACAACACACACAAGTAAAGGTAAAATTATGACAAACAAACGGAAAAAAAAACCCGAAAAAAATTAGCAGCCTACAAGCACTTTATAAATGCGGAAGACTGAGCAGCACAATCCACACACATATCCTGGTTGATCACAGGTGCTCTGGAAGGGTACGCATATCCTGTTCATTCTTAAGAACTTTTGTGTAGTATTAACATTATACCATTTCCAAATTATTGACTGCTTTGTCGGCCAAAACGAACACAATTGCTTTTGCAGGAACTTGAATAGTGTTTTAAAATGGAATATCCACAATATTCAGACATTTATTTAGATAGGAATCAGGTGACTTTTTGTAGAGTTTCTATCGTTTATCGTATTTGGCACAACTTTTTGGAATTGTTGGTCCTCAATGCTCTTTAACTTTGTACTTGTTTTGGCTTTCTAACTATTTTGATCTGAGCGTCACTGATGAGTCTTATGTAGACAAAACGCGCGTCTGGCGTATAAAATTATAAGCCTGGTACATTTGAAAACAGTTTACACCATTTTTTACAATCGAATGAAAAAGAATCTCTAATGTCCATACGACACTCTTTCAAATTAATTTTCGATGGCGGACGATATGTAGGTTCTTTTTTCATAAATTTCATTACGTTTTGGTCTTGAACGATATTCAAGTCTCCTGTTGGTACATGGCCATACGGATTTGATCTAAACTTCGATATATCAGTCTTCTGTACTTCTTTCGCCTCTCTTTTTCAATTGATTTTTGTAAACACATTTACTAGTTATGTATAATTTGTTGGAGTGAAAATGTAATTTCTGGAATTTCTTATTTCGTTGCTTCATGATTTTTTCATATTTTTCCCTCGCAACAACAAAAGTACGAATATCAATTGATACTTGTTAGATAATAAATGGGGTAAACATCAGGCATTTAAAATAAGTCATAATGTCATGGAATGCGTATCACACTAGGCGATTGCATAAAAGAGCTTAATTCAAATTTAAGTTAACATTTATCAATACGATTGGGTGCATCCTTGATTATGTTGTTACATTTTAAAAAATTGGGGTTTTTTTCACTATAAGACAAGGAAATGTAGTATGATAACCAACTGCTTCGCTTGAATGCTATATTATAATGGAAATTTAATGTTCTAAAGAAATGTTATGTTAATATATTTATTCATGTCTACTGAACAAAATGCACTTAATATATGACGACCTTAAAGATAACATTGCTGATCGATTTGATAACAATACCATTGTATGCACAAGATTATACATATAATATCTATAAAAGGTTTATAATTATCTGCCTAGTTGTAGATATAATTCAGGAAGTTGTTACAAAGCTAAATTTATATTAAGATAAGGACATAGAGCTTCACCTGTTTACTCTCAAATGTGAATCGATACGCCTTCTTAAAACTAACGAACTGATTTATATAAATATGATTTCAGACAGGGTTTACGGAGACACATTTGTTCACTATAAGACAAGGAAATGTAGTATGATATCCAATGACACAACTATCCAACATAAAGAGGATTTATCATTTAAGCGTTTATAGGTCACCATACGGCCTGTAGCAATGAGAAAAAACCCGTAAAAGGCCAAATATTACAAAGTATAAAAAAAAATAAAATTCAAACAGTTAACGAAAAACAAAAAATGGCAGATAGCAACCAAAGACAACCACTGAACTACTGACTCCTGATTTGGGACTAACACATATAGAGTTTAAGTACCTAATGACCTGCATGTATACTTTATCTCACTGAAGTTATATTCTTATGCATTTTTCATTGAACTTCGAGATAAAGCTTATTTCAGAATTTCCTTGTATGTTAAAAGATATTACGAAATACAATATGTACAGTCTAATAGATCAATCAAAACCCCCACCATTTGAACATTGATAGCTAAAGAAATCGGAATTAGTTGGGGTTTGGAGATATCTTCAGATCTAAATTTATTATTTTATTATTCAAATTGTTAGTGGATGAAACGTGCGTCTGACGTACCATATATTTTGATGAGTTTTTACAACCACTCGTTCGATGCCTTTACTTGTAGACTATTCGTCCCCGAGGGTATTACCGGTCTTATAGTAAGCACTTCTATGTTTACATACAATATCTTGGATATATTTTTGTAATTATTTCTGCTTGAAAATTATTAATTATTCGAAAATCTACCTTCAGGCATAGATTGCATCAGCCGTATTTTGCAAAATTTTAGAAATTTTGGTTTTGAATGCTAACATAATTAATGAATATGAGGTAGACGAAACACGCGTCTGGCGTACCAAATAATAAACCTTGTATTCTTATTTTTTTATCTGCGGCAATACGAAAAGATTTTTGCGCGTTAACGTCATGATATCTTCCCTGGTTTTTTCATTATGTTATTGCGTATACCCTACACCAACTTCGATTCATATACAATGTTCATACATAGCAATACTACTTTCTTGAATTGATATTTGTTCAAACTTGAACAGGATATTTTTTAAGTTTAGATAAACAAAAAATCAACGGAGACTTGGAACGTTTGTCATGAATTAATACACTATATCCTTTGTTCAATTATATCTAATCCTGACTTACCTAGAACAAAAAGGAAAATGAAACTCCAAAAACATGTATATCTAGATATCATTGCAAGTGAAAATATTCGATAATATTTTATTTAAATACAAGGAAGTAAAGAAAGTACTTGGTAAAGATTAGGTTGCATATACTAGTATACATTGGTAACGTCCCCTTTATGATAAATAGGAAAGTTTTTATTTGAAGGATTACCGCCATTTATCTTAGTAACAATATAATACTTATTAATATTATATTTATTAAACTACAAGTAAGTGAAGTTTAAATGTGCGTAAGCCACGTAAAGGTAAAGGAGGCATTTGTGGTCATTAACTATTAAAACTTCGCAATATTGTGTGTTTATTTTTATTCGTCTTTTTCTTTTATTACGACTGTGATGTGCTTTCTCAATGTATCTTACGTAAAATAATATAAATTCTATTGATTTGTTATCGATTTGCCATGATGATCCCATGAAGACATTTTGTATTAAAATAAAATAAGGCGTTTATTTATCATATATTTGTGAAACTAGTATGGGAATTATACATTGAAAATTGAGGCTATAAAATACATCTATGAATCCTCATTCCGTTCCATATGAAGAGATATAGAAAAATCCAAGTAAGGCCAGGATATTGAGAAAATATTTCTAATATATTCCACGGCTTTAGCGTCTCGTGATAAAAGGGCGCTGCTTACAAAGAATTTGTTGAACCAAGGGTTCCAAATTTAAAGTAATCCCTACGAAAGTTTTACAGACGACATCATGATTTGGTTTACCGTTATGGTATAATCAATTCTTTTTTCCAGAACGCGACGTATCAATACAATTAGTAAAACACGAGTATTGCCAGTGGGGCAAGTACTGCTATTCGTTCCTGAGCATCTGATTCAATCATCAATTTTTGGTGGTGTTCGTGTTGCTTAATCTTTAGTTGTTTGCTTATTTGTTTGTGGACTTTTGTCTGTGTGTTCGTCGTTTTCCTTTTTAGCTATTGTATTGTATGTTTTTATTGGATTTCTGTTTCCCCATGTTATATTTTCCTTTTAATGTCATGTGTTTTATCGATATTGCAGTATTTAATTAACAGAGGATCCATGGTATTTGATAAATTTCTTTTTGAAAAAATCCTATAAAAATACCATAACATACAATTTAAAAAAATTAAATAAATAAAAAAGTATATACTGGAACATAAATTAATATGCTTTACAATTTATTAATGTGTCTAGGTTTCAGTTTTCATCGTCATTTCATTCGTTCCATGTTTATGATAAAAATGTCTTGTACTTCATTTCA